CCCCGTAATTTTCCGACTTTCCCTTTTTTCATTCGAGATTTAATGAATGAATGAATAAAAGAAATTCGTGAGGAAATCCTTTCGATGCCATATTTTTTTTTATTTATTTTTTTTTTAATATTTTTATGCATGGAAAATTTTTTTTTTTAAGCAGAAGAAAAAGGAAACTCGTTACGTATGAGATTATTCTAGCAAAAAAAAAAAAAAAAAAAAATTTTTTTCACGCCGGAGAAAATTAAAGATTACGAGAAGAGATGATTTAATCAGTTTCTTTTTCTCTCTCTTTGGAAAATTCGCAAGTAACCTTTTAGCAAAGAAAGAGAGAAAAAGAAAAGCGAGAGGAAAATTTTGAAAATTGTCACTTTCGAAATACAAAATATATAAACATAATTTTCTTTTTTTTACTCTTTTCCTTTTTTCCTTTGAATTCACAGACAACAAGTCTCATTATTTATTTTCAATGCGACAGCGAGCGGCAAATGAAAAAAAAAAAAAAAAAAATTTGTGTTGAAAATTTCCCCTCCCCCCCCCCGCCATAAATTATATCTTTTGTCACGAATATAAATAACGTTGAGAAAAAAAAAAAAGAAAAATTATTATTATCATCATCATATTTCGAGTTTTTTTTTTTTTTTTAAACAAGCAAAAATCAGGTTCGACCTTAAAAAAAAAAACCAACTTAACGCAGTTGTTAACCTCAAGTTAAAAATACTTGTGTCAAATGAACTCGTGAAAAACACGCGGGCCGTGTGATTAATTACCAACGAGGAGAGAGAGAGAGAGAGAGAGAGAGAGAGAAGAAAAAGAGAGAAAAAAAACCGTTAGAAACCAAAACCTTAAAAAAAAAAAAAAAAAATTTTTTTTAAAACGACTTCAACAAACAACAACAAACCGCGTGAAAAAAAAAGGATGTTATAAATTGGATTTTGTCACGACTCCCTTGCTCCCGAACAAATGAGTAACAACAACCAAACCAACCGCAAACAAAAAAAAAAGGTGATAACAAACGCAATACGACAAATTTTTTATTACGTCATCATTCGCCATATTTAAAATTTAAAAACTCCACCCTAACCGAAAAGAATGAATAGAAAATAACAACAACAACATCAACAACAACAACAAAAACAACAACAACAACAAGAATAACAACAACAAAAACAACAACAAAATCAAAAAAACAACAAAAACAACAACAACAACAATAACAACAACAACAACAATAACAACAACAACAACAACAACTACAACAACAACAACAACTACAACAACAACGACAACAATACAAATATTATAACCGTTTTTTTTTTATCCCTTTCGATAATTGATAACAAACGCGAATTCCCTCGGTTATGGCGGCATCGCACGTATGAACCATTTCGAGTTGTAAAAAAAAAAAAAAGGCACGAGCCAAAGAGAGAGAGACAGACGACAACCACAAACAAACAAACAAACAAACAAACTTTTTACTAATTAGTACAAGTGCACTTGTCATCCGTCATCGTACGAATCGTTTTTTTAAAAAACCCGTAAAAGGAAATCTCCATCTTTAAAACTAAAAGAAAAATCGGTTTATTTATTTATTTTTTTAAATTTTTATTAACCCATAAGTTACATAAATTATGTTAATATGGAGTCGCGGAGGTGAAGGTTTTTGTATATAAAAAAAAAAAAAAAAAAAAAACTCGCGAGGATTACGTGTGAACAACACTCGTAAACACTCGTTTTTAAGCACTACGTAAGAGAAAGAGAGAGAGAGAGAGAGAGAGAGAGAGAGAGAGAGAGAGAGAGAGAGAGAGAGACGCTTACGCACTTCTCGTCTTTTTTTAAACATTATTATCATTATTATTATTATTATCATTATTATTATTATTATTATTATTATTATCGATATAATCGTCACCTATTGAAAAAAACGGGGGAGTAAATTAGTTTGTTTAAATCAAAATGGAAGACAGTTAGACCCTTCTACCCATCTACACGGGCATTATTGGGGAGGTGAGGGAGAGAGGGCGGTGAGAGAAAGGGAAGGGGATGAAAAGGAAAGGAGAGGGAAGGAGGAAACGATAACGAATTCCAACGCGTAAATTTTCGCCGCGGAAAATGAATGAAATTTACGTATTCCGTCGCTCTCACTCAGAATTTTTAAACTCGTTAACTAATTAAATTTTCCCACGGGTTGTCCGAATCAACCTCAAAAAAAAAATTTTTTTCCTTTTTTTTTTCCTTTTTGTTTTCTCTCACACTAAAAACACACCTTTCCCACGCATTCCTTTTTTTCCTTTTTTTTCCTTTTTTTCCTTTTTTCCATTTATCCGAAATAAAAAAATAAAAATAAAAATAAAAAAAAAAGTTAATTACGATCGTTCCTACTACCTTCGTTATTTATTCTTTCCGTTCGGGGAAAAAAAAAAAAAAAACAAACAAACGGCATTTAAATTTTTTTTTTCTTTCCTTTTTTCCTTTTTTTTGTTTTTTTTTTTTTCTTAAATTAAATAAAATAAAAATGGCGACGAAATAAAAAAAAAAAAAATTCAAAAGTAAATATTATTATTTTGGTGCCGTTTAAATAAATATAATAATAATAATAAATAAATAAATAAATAAATATAAAATATAGAGTGCGTGATTTTCGCTTTTTTTTTTTTTTTTGCTTTTTTTTTTACTACTACTACTACTACCACCCCCTTCCCCCCGATTTCTCCACCACACATTTTCACGTTTTTCGCCGTTTTTACTATCGCATAAATAAATTTATATGAAAAAAAGAAAATAAAAGGAAAAATGTTTAATAATAATAATAATAATAATAATGCGACGTTTCAGTACAATTCTCGGAGTAAAAAAATCCAATATTTCGAGGGGAGATTGAAAGAAATCAAAACCGTTTTGTTGGACCTGATAAAAAAATATCAAACTCTCGAAGAATACGCCATGATATTGAAATTGAGTTCGGATTTTCAATCGGAGATTGAAGTTAAAAAATTCGACATAGCCGTCGAAGTCATAGAGGATAAATTAAAGCTGTGCGATTTGGATTTGAAAGTTTTAGAAGTCGAAGAGAAGAAAAAGGACGAATCCGAGTGCGTTCAGAAAATATTCGAATTGCAACAGAAATTGGAAGAAGCGACGGAAGAACTCGCGAGACAAAAACAAATACAGAGGGAAATGGAAATAACGTTTAAAAAATCTAAAAAGAAAAGAGTCGAAAACATGAGACTTTTACTCGAAGAACTAAGAAAATATCTCTCGCACGTGGATTCCGTTAGAACGGATGATTTGCCGTATAAGAAACAAGTCGAAAAATTCGGGTAGGAGGGGGGAGGGTGAAATGCAGAAAAAAAAAACAAAACAAAATGGCGGAAATATAAATAACTAATAAATAAATAAATAAATGAATAAATGAATGAATGAATGAATGAAGAAAAAGATGAAATAAAGGGAAAACATCAACGACTACTTACTACAGGAAGGGAAAAGAAAGAAAAGGAGGGAGGGAGGGAGGGGGCGGTACGTGTTTTACTACCAAATTTTCACAAACGATCCATCGTTTACCCCCCCACCACTCACCCACTAATTCTTTTGAATTTTTTGTTTCAGAAATGACGACTTTATTTTGCCCAACGAACGAACGTCAAGAACGTAATATTTTGTTAAGTAATAAAATCGTGACGTCATACTACCTGAAATAATAATGATGATGATGATGATGATGATGATGATGATGATGGTACGATGATATAAAAAGCAGCGAACCGAAAGCTTCCTCGACTATCTTTTAAACGATTTAGAAACGATTCGAGTAAATTTTTCCAGAGGAGGAGGAGGATTAGGAGGAGGGGAGGACCGGGTCAAAGGTCAAGAAAACTCAATCATCCCATTCTGTCTTGTTGAACCGCGACGAGGTAAAAAAAAAAAAATGAGATAATTTATCAACGGAAAATTATTATTATTATTTTTACCTTCACGTAACAATTATTTATTACGTATTATTCGAGAGTAATAAAAACAAACTAAACCATTTTATGAAATGAAAATGTTTTTCCCTTAATTACAGGTAGAAAATGAAAATGAAAATGAAAATAATAATAATAATGATAATAAAGCCTTTTCGAAAAAAGGAGTAAAAGCCCGAAGGTAATTTTATACATGTGAAAAATAAAAAAAAAAAAAAAATTGTTCGTCACCTGTCTGGAAAACAAATAAAAAAAACGGGATAATAAATTTCCATAATTCATCTCAACGAAAAATAATTTTTACTCTTTTTTTAATTACGCACACACGCACGCACACGCACTCACGCACGCACTCACGCACGAGTATCGGAAATTAGTGTTAATGATTTACCGAGAAAGAAAAATCGGGAAAAAATAAATCTCGGATTATTCAATTTTAATTAGAAATAATGCCAATTTTTTTTTTTTTTTAAATCGAAAAAAAAAAACGCTTCGACAAAATCCAACAAACAAACAAACGAACAAACAAACAAAACAAACGATCGATCAATCAATCAATTTACAAAAGCTTAAAAACAGATAGAATTTCCCTGTACAAAAAAATAATAATAATAAAAATTGAATGGAATACGCGCACGCACGCAAACAATAAAATACATAAGAAAAACGGATTAAAAAAAAAAATTAAATGTAAATTTACCTTGCGGGGGGAGGGGGAACCCTCCCCCAAGGTAAAAAAAAGGTTATTGAAAAACAAAAAGAAACCGTCGGCAAACAAAAAAAAAATTAAACAGTAATAATAATAATAATAACAAAGACAAACAAAAAAGAATTAATAAAAATTAATCATCGTTTCGTAGTAACAACAAACGCAATTCGTTTTAAAAAATTTCCCAACGACAAACAACAAACGTTTGAAAAAATGCCAATCCCACGCACTCTCTTTCTCTATGATTTTTTTTACAGCTTCCGTTTTGTCAGGTTCGAATCGATTTCCGGAATATTTTCTAGGAAATGATCGAATAACGTTCCCGACAAAAGGCCTTTTTTCTCCCCCCTCCCTTTTTAATTTTCCTAAACGCTTCGTGACTTTTTCTAGAACTTTATTTCATCGTTACGACTTCATCTCGAAACATGAGCAGCAGCAAATAAGAAACCGGAAATAAGAAGAAGAACTAAAACGACATTCGTCGACCGGAAATCAATTTATCGATATTTCAAAAACAAAAAAAAAACGCAAAAACGCTTAAATTAATTATTAAACAAACAAACAAACAAACAAACAAACATTTGCGGTTAAGGGCCGTAATCCAAATGTTTCGTTTTAATAATAATAATAATTTTTAATTACGATTATTGTTATTTTCCCTCTTCCTTTCCTTTTCTTACCCACAACCCCTTCTCGTGTACGGGCCATTTTCAACATTCGTAAGTAAAACATTTATTTATTTTTTCTTCTTCATCCCTTCTATTATTTTTCACCTCTCCTCTTCCCCCTCCCTCCCTCCCTCCCTTTACCCACAAATCGACGTTCAACAGGTTTGAGATTTTTTTTATTTTTATTTTTTTTTATTTATTTGTTTGTTTTGTCAAGAAATAAAAAAAAAAATAAAAATAAACGGGCGTGTAAAAAAGTAAAGACGAATCCATCCATGAATGAGTGGGAGTGGGAGGGTGAGGAGGAGGGGAGATTCGACTCGATCAATATTTTCCCAATTTCCTTATTTTCGATTTCAATTCCGAATTCGAGGTCGAAGATGAAGAAGGTTTCCTTTTTCATTTCGTCTTCCCTCGCACGAATAAAATAAAATTCTCGATTCCTTCCCCCTCTTTTTTCCCCTCCCCCCATCTCCCCTACACCCAAACAACAGACAAATTTTTTTCCATTTGACGTAAATCAAAAAAAAAAAAAAAAATCACGAAACGTAACTGACATGACAAATTTATATAATAACACACGACAAACGAAAGAATAAGAAAAATAAGAAAAGAAGGAAAAAAATTTTTTCTAACGTGTTTTAACTGTCATGGTGGTGGTGGTGGTGGTGCCGGGGCTACACGACAACAACAACAACAACAACAACAACAACAGCAGCAACAGCAAAGATCGCATTTTTTTTTTTTTATTGCCTCCTCATTAAAACTTTACTCATTACGCCTAATTTACGTAAACTAATTACGATCCTTATTTTGTTTTTTTGTTTTTTTTTTAAAAATACGATTGATCTGTTACTACAATTCGAAAGGTTTTCCCTTCTTCCTCTTTCCTTTTCCATTTCCTTTTCCTTTTTTCCTCCTTCTTTCAACCATTATTTAAAGGTTTTAAAAAAAAAAAAAAAAAAAAAAACCGCTTGTTCGGCAAACCTTTCTAGTTCATTTTAAACCGAAGCAATCCATTCATTTCCCTTTTTCTCTTCCTCTCTCTCTCTCTCTCTCTCTCTCACCATCCTTCTTTCGCTTCATTTTCTCTCCTCGCTTTCTCCTTTTTTTTTCCATTCTTCCATTTCCTTTCAATCTTTTCCACATCAGAGTTTTCCTACACAACAACATGTTCTTGTAATGTCAAATCATTATTCTTTCGGGCTACAAAAAAAAATTTATCCCGGTTGAAAATGACGGATTTTCTTTTTTTATTCTTTCACGTCGTTCGTCTTGTTTGTCATTTGCTTTGTCACCATTTTTCCATTTTTTTTTTTTTGTTTCCGATACTCAAAGATGTAATTTCCTACCGTGAAATTTTCCGTCGGTCCTTCTTTAAAACCCCTCCACCCACCCACCCACACCCCCATTCAATCATTACTCACGTTTTAATTAATCGAACGGCGATATTTAAAAATTTGAAATTTTTTTTTAAATCGATTTCGAATCGGTTTGACATTTATTTCGTGTCAAGGATCCCTCCCTCCCCTCCCCTTCCCTACCATTTTCATTTTTTGTTTCGCACATAATTTCTAAATGGATTCTTTCCTTTTTTCCTTTCCGGTTGAAAAACTTTGAGCCGATTACGCAAACTCAATCCTATACTAAGCCAAGTAAATAATATAAGCTACGAATTTTATAATGAAAAAAAATTTTTTTTTTTAAAAGGAAAAGAAATAATAATGATAATGATGATGATGATAATAATAATAATAATAATAATAATAATAATAATAATAAAACGGTGACACGACGCTTCCACCCACACTTTAACAAACAATAGAATAAATCCACTTTCACCCTTGACATTATTCATCACCACCATCATCGACTACTGTTCTCTTTTCATCCGTTTTTCCTTTTTTTTTCCTTTTTTTTCCTTTTTTTTCCTTTTTTTCCTTTTTTCTTTCAGATCATTAAATGTTTTTTTTTTTTTTTTTGCTTTGCTTTTAACCTCGCGTTATACTTTCAACCGTAAACAATAGCAAAGACGGAGATTTAAAAAAAAAAAAAAAAAATATGTATAATCTTTTCATCATCTCGACGGTAATTAACCGTTCTTTTTATCATTATTATTATTATCATCATCATCATCATTATTATTTAACTAACGACGGATTAAATTGAGAGGAACGAAAAAACAAAAAAAAATGCCCGTCGTGTGCCCTTTCACTCCATATAGGAAAAATTATTAAATTTAAATGCAACACGACCACCACCACCACCATCGTCATTGTTTCCCATCAACTCCAACCAGGAAGATTTTTTCAATAACTTAAACAAATCCCCCCCTCTTTTCCCCCTTCTCCCTTCCCGGCCCCCGGAAAAAGAAAATCAAAGAAAACAACTCCACGAGAGAGAGAGAGGAAAAGGTGTTAAAAATTTTAACGTTATTCTCTTAATCCAATTCACTTTCGTCGCTCTAGCACCCTCTCGCCCTCTTTCTTCCTCTCTCTCACAACCCTCCCTCATTCCTCCCCACACTATCTCTCTCTCTCTCTCTCTCTTTATAAAAAATTAAGCCAACACGTTTTGAAAACTAATAACATTCATCAGAATGGGAAAAAAAAAAAAAAAAAAAAAATTAAAAATTAAACTCGACGTGATTGAAATTGAAGCATCAGCATCAACGAGAGTTCGTTCATTCGTGCGTTCGTGATTGCGTACCTGTTTTATTAAAAAATTTAGGTTTCGTTTATATATGCGATGCGAATCGACCGGAAAAACGATTAGCTTTCCCCTTCCCCCTCCCCCAGCACCCCTACCGCCACAATTCAAGAAAATTTTTTTTTCTTTCCTTTCTCTTAATAAAGTTTTACCTTATAAGCATCGATCGACTTTGACGATATGACCTCCTACAAAATTAAGGCGTATGAAATAAACCAAATACAAGGCCTAACAATTTTATTACGAAGGTGAAAAAGAACAAAAAAAAAAAAAAAAAAAATGAAAAAAGGATTCGTAGGCGTGACACTTACGCACACGCACGCACACACACACAAACGAGCGTCAACGTTCTATAATGTTTCAAGTTTAACAACAACGATTTAGGCACGAAATAATAATAATAATAATAATAATAATAATAATAAATGCAATCGTTATTTAATATCATCATCATCATCATCGCGATGGCGAAAAGATTGGCAAATTGTTTTGGGAAAATTTTCAAATCTCGTACAGATTTTTAATACGCGAAAAACAAAACAAAAAAAAAAAATAGATAAATAAATAAATAAAGAGAAAGAAAGAGAAAGAGAGAGGAAGGAAG